TAGTTTTTTACCGAAATTTTTTTAGGCTAATGTAATTGAGTTAGTATCTAAAATATGGTAAGGGTGGAAGAGGAATTTTAGGAATTGAGATGGAAGTTGGGTATGAAAAATTAAGTTGTGGGTAGGGAGTGAAAGGGAAAAGAGAAGGGAGGGGTTTGGCCCGTTAGAAATGGGTATACCCATTTTTTTACTTTTAAAATTTTTTAAACATGTATTCTCATTTTATTGGTCCACCTCACCTGGAGGATGAACTTCAACCTCTCATGGGAGGACCTAAGTATTATCCATAAATAAATAAAACAAAAAGGGTTATGGAATTAATTCCAAAAAATTTATTTTCCTTATTTATTATTTTCTCTATTTTGTAATTACCGCCAACTTGTATATTTATGAGTAGACCAGCGGGTCAGATGGAAGTAAAGTGGAAAATTTTAACTCTTAACCTCCAATATGTTAGAGGATAAATCCAAAGTTTGCTCAAGATATTGTTGGTTCAATTGATTTTGAACTTAGGGTTAAGTGCAAAAAACTCCCTGAATTATGGGAAAACTTGCAACTAACCCCCTGAACTTTAAAATATGCAAGAAACTTCCCGAACTATGCAAAAAAGTTGCAGATCACCCTATTTGTCACTGTTCCGATTGGATTTTGCAGTTAAAGTGATCACGTGATGGTCACATGACACATACTATATTTTTAATGACTATAATGCCCTTATGACCATGAAAAGACACTAATGCCCCTTATTTTAACTATTAAATCCATACCCCTTTTTATAAACCCCAAACACACCCTTATACTGTTGATCTTCTTCCCAGCGTTTCTTGAATGGGGAAAAAAAAAAAATCGACTCACGAACTGATCTTTCCTTTTCCCATTCCACTTCATCTTTCTCATCCCCGATTAAGGGTCCATCCACGATCAGTCCCTAAACCCAACCTCCACTCTCAATCTCTCCATTAATGTCCCTTACCTTTCTATTCTTCTTTTCCGCGGTACAGTGGGTGTCTAATTCCGGTGATGGGGTGCGATACCAGGTTCAGGATTCTTCTCCGGGCACGGTTGATTTGGTATTTCGAGCATCACGGGTAGCATTTTTCTCCGTCCACAGTTTGTTTGTCGTTGTTTTATATTGCTTGCGGGTTTGGTGCTGGAATTGTGTTCTTCTCAGGCCGTGGGTTGCTGTGTCGTCGACTATGGGTGCGGTTGTCATATTTTTTTCCCCCGGTGAAGTAGGTGTTAAAATTCAGCGGGTTTGTGGGCCGCGGTCAAATTCCGACGGCATGGTTTAAGTCCGATTCTGGTTGGGATTCGTCTCCTGCCGGATTTGTTGGGTCTTGCGACTCTCGGTGGCAGCCATCGTTGCCGAGGTTAGGTTTGATTTGCAGGGCTGTGGTGTTGTTGTAAGTATGTTTGTGACTAATTTGTGATAATGGTGGATAGCTGTTTGTTGCAATAATGTGAATTTACAGTTCTGGATTGTTGATTACATGGTCCGATTTTGTGAATAGGGGTGTTGATTGTGGGGTTGTGATTGGGTGTAAGATTTGGTTTGATTGATTACAGAGGTAGTGGTTTGTGGGTGTTTATGCAATTTTTTGGGGTGAGCACAATGATCCGAATTGGTGATTAGGTGATTAATTTGGGTAGTGGCCAGACGATTGAATGAGCAGGAGGCAATGAATTTCGACCAGGGGCTCTCTTTCCAACGCCGAAAACTAGCATCATTGCGTCCTTGCCACCAGACCAGAATCATCGCTGTCGTCATGTCGAGATCAACCTCGATGTTAACCCCAAACCTTGCCGCCATGGTATCATCTGTTGCATTGGTGTCACATTTTTATTGGTTTATGAAATTATCAACTGCCACATTATGTATAACTCTCAAAACGACGTAGTTTTAAGTAAGAGTAAATTTGTCTTTTAATATTTTCGACCAAGTCATATGCATCGTCCAAAACAACGATTTTTATCAACTGTAGCAAAGAAAGAAACTTCATAGAAGTCAAAATATGAAGAAATAGATATGCCTAGCTACTTTATTCTATGGATAAAGGATCTAATTGATGGATTCCGATCCAGAGTATGCTCATATCCACCGATTCAGTAAATAACTATCAGGAACGAAGTAATCCTCTAATTTTTTTTATTTTTATTTATTTATTTTTTATTTATTATTATTATTTTTTTCCAGACGTAAAGCACGCAGGGCTTTGAACCCAAATACATTACCCACAATGGAAGTAAATATATTAGTAACAGAACCTTCTTCAAAAAGGTCTAAGTGGTAATCCTTAATTAGTGCTGCCTTAGAAGCTATGCTTCAATTGTTGATTCTAGTATTGAGCGCAAGGTTACACCTAGAGGTTCTGTATTACAAGTTAATCCTCTCCTACTAGTACCAATAGGCAGCATAGGGGAAGAAGCACTACACCTAGGAATCAATAACACAAAAACTTTTGGCATACATAGGTGAATGGATTCCATAGGATCCTTCTGAAGGAAATCTCTGATTGATTGAATTCAATTAGTACTAAGAACTCTCTCTTGTTTAGAATTCTAGAGATCCTTAGAATTCGGAGATTTACAGAGAATTAATAACCGGGGCCCTCTCATTTAAAGATAGAGATGCAACAAAACAATAGTATATGGGGTTTTTTGCAACAAAATCATAATTCAGGAGGTTTCTTGTAGTTCAAGGGGGTTAATTGCAAAACCCTAATAGTGCAAGGGTTTTTTTTACATTTAACCCTTGAACTTATACACCCACACCACTATTATTGGAGAAAATAAATAAACAAATAAAAATAAAACAAAGCAAAATTTTCATTTATTTATTTATTAAACAATTTTATTTTATTTTATTATTATTTTTTGTTTTGTAATTGAATCTCTTTCTAGATTTATTTTGTGGGTTACATTTTTTCTTTACCTAGGTGGTTTCACAAAAAAAGATATCGCCTTGGTCCAAATTGCTTCAATTACCATGCAAACAAAATAACGTTAAAGTATATATTCTATCATCATATGGATTATGGAAGTTGCATACTCGAAACTTATTTTCACTCAACGTGCTGTAATAATTATTACACCTTCTATTATTTTCAAAAATCTTCTTTATACTTTATAAATATTTACAATCTCATGTTTCTTACCATGACAATTAGCTGCCAACCAAATATTTGGAAAGTTATTTTGTTGCACATCCCCAACTCCAGATATATTTCAAAATTAAGGTGTATATATTATATCGTTATATAGATTATCGAAATTGCATACTCTCGGAATTGATTTTCACTCTAAAACGTGCTGTCACTACTATTACACCTTCTATTATTTAGTCATCACACATATATGTGATGGTTACAAACATCACCCTTCCCTCCTTATATAGACAACTTAATAGATATTATGATTCTTTAGAATACTCCTTTAAAGTATATAGAAATCTATAAAATTCAAGACACTTCAAAAATTTTCTCTATACTTTATGAATATTTACAATCTCACCCATGGTTTAAATTATTTCAATTCTACACAAACATAAAAGACTAAAATTTCACTCCATTCATGTATTACAGAATCCTCCTAGCGCTTTGGTATTGCCTTGTGTGGCACAACTCCCTTACAAATTAGTGGACCATGACAATTAGCTGCCAACATATATGGAAAGTTAGTCATTTTCTTGCACATCCCCAACTCTTTAATATATTCAAAATTAATTCTCTAAATTGATTATCAAACCACACCTTGATGTTTTTTTATTTTATTATTTTTCTTTCTTTTATCTCCTCTCATAACATTTTTTCTCTCTCGGCCAATCTCGTAATTTTGGATTAACTCACATGTCACTCCTCAAAATCTCATCTTTCCTCGATCTGCCCTTCTTAAAATTCTAGAAAATCCAGACACAATATGGTGATATAACTCAATTCAAAAATAATTTTATTATTATTATTTTTATATTGACAAGCAAGTCTTTCACTTTGGAAGGAGATATGATACTACATCACATTTTGTAAATTAAGTAAATATTAAATTAAGTGTATTTTAATAACCTAACTTAGATACCACTTAAACTAATAGTCACTTAAAATTTTAAGAGGAAGAAATTTCATTTATCAATTAATGCACAACACTTAAAGTACAAACTATCAACTAAATTCTCAAATTATAATTAACACTTTACAATTCAACTCTCTTGAAATTTTTATTACCTTTCACTTTTTATCAAACAACACATACTACATAGAACTCATTTGAAATTTATGGAGTTTTACCACGAAATTAGATTGAATATCACATGATGAATTTTTTACTATGTTGCCTTCTTCGATTATGTTTCGAAATTGGTGGGTAAAATTCTTCTTCGTTGAGGCATTAACCACTGAAAATGAAGTCGCCATTCTGTTCGGCAAGGAAGGGTTACTCTTATATATTGCCTTTTCATTTAATAATAAAAATGTTAAAAAAAAAAAAAAAAACCTGTTATATACCATATGAGTATTTTAAATATTTTGTTTTAAGGGTGTTTTAAAATTGAGCAAATTAGGACAAATTTTTTATTTGAAGACAGAAATATTTAAAACGCCCTCAAGACATAATAATAATAAATAATAAAAACTAAAAAAATTAAATAATAAGAATAGACAAAAAATAAAATACCAAAAAAAAAATATATATTTTTTATTTATTAAAAAAAGAAATATTTAAAATTTTCTTAAGAGTAATTTGAAATGTCAAAAATATTAATCAGTAACAACTTATTTTAAAATTTCAAATTATAAGGATTTATATGTATTTTTTGAGATGGGATTGCACATTTTTTAGTGGTTTTTTTTCTTTTGTAAGTTCAGAAAAATTTTAATTGGCTGATGTGAAATCTATTGAGCATATGTTTTTGCAACTTCAAAGGTTACGAAACTTTGTCTGTCACCACTAGTACGATGACACGTGTCAACCTTGGATACCTGCGAATCATATTTCTTTCGCCGTTCCGTAAGATACTTATTTTTCCCACATATTTTCCTTCTCCCCAAACAAAGATGAGCCGCAAGAGAGATAAACCCTACCTCTCCCGCCATTCCCCCTACTCTTTCCCAAAACGGCGTCGCCCTCTGCCCACTCCGCAGCCCGACTCCGCCGCTGCCGACGACGATCGGCCGGGGAATTCCTCCGCCAAGTCGCTCACGACGGTCATCGTCATCGGAATCTCCCCGGACTGCTCTGTCCTAGACCTTAAATCCCGATTCGAGATCTACGGCGGCATATCTCGCACCCGCATGGACCCTGGTGGTGTCGCCTACATCACCTTCCGCTCCAAAGACGCCGCCGACTCCGCCATTGCCGCCTCCCTCGATCCCTCCTTCGGCATCACACTCAATTCCCACAGAGTACTATCTCTCTCCCTCTCTTTATATATATATATATATATATATATATATATATATTCACACCCATAATAGGGAATTAAAGACTAAAATTTTAGATATTTAAGTGCTGAAACTTTTTATTGTTAGTTATAAATTGTGAATTTGTTGGATAAGTGTTTGAATTGAAGTGTTAAGTGATAATTGAATTAGAATTTAATTTATTTAGAATTAAGAGCTGAATTTACTACTCAAACAGCACTATTTAATTGCAATTTTGGAGTTTTAGATTTAGGATTTGCAGTAGTTGCAGGTACAGGAAATTAAACACTAAATTTTTTAAGAATTTTTAAGTGCTGAAACTTTTAGTTAATTATAAATATTGAATTTGCTGGATCATTGTTTGAATTTAAGTGAAGTCTAGCTCACTAAAAAGATAAAATTGCACACATTCAATTGAATAAGAATCTAATTTATTTTAGAATTAAGAGCTGAATTAAGTACTCGAACAGCACTATTTAATTTCAATTTTGGAGCTGTTGTTGCAGGTTCACACACAAACACACACATAATAGGGAATTAATCACTAATTTTTTTTTAGAATTTTCAAGTGCTGAAATTTTTAATTGTTAATTATAAGTTGTGGATTTTCTGGATAATTGTTTGAATTTAAGTGTTAGTGAAATCTAGCTCACTTTAAAGTTAAAATCTTAATCCATTTTAAATAGTATTCAGTTGCACACATTCAATTGAATAAGAATCTAATTTATTTTTGAATTAAGAGCTGAATTGAGTACTCAAACAGCACTATTCAATTGGAATTTTGAAGATTTAGATTTGGGATTTGTTGTGGTTGCAGGTACAGGTGATGTGGGCGAATGATCCAGTACCTCAGTGGAGGGAAGGTGTTGGGAAGAAGGATAGTGCCTCGACATCGAAGCTGTTGAGAGCTGAGGTGCCTCTGAGTAGACATGGAAGAGGTAATAGGCTTGGATCAGCAATTGTGAACCCTAGAAGTAGTAATAATAATAATAATAATAATAATAATGATTCGGGCTTAGATGTGCCTTTCAAGGGTAGGGAAGTTGTTGCTTATGATGATATTCTGTAGCTTAAAATAAGTTTCTTTCGGGTTTTCTTGAATTGTAACAATCATGTGTTATACATATAGTCCCAAGTAATATCAGGGCCTATAGCTGCTAAAAAGTTTGGAACTTTGGGAGGGTTTAGTGGTGTTTTATGATTTTTTTAGTATGTGTCGGTTGTTTTCTTTTTGTGCTTTTCGTATTTGGTTTTTTGATTCTTCTGTTATTCAGAATTGAGTATGAATAATATTAATTATTACTGTGTACCACTAATGCATAAGTTAGAGAGCTATGAATGGTATTGAAATAGCTTTCCCAATTGTAGTTGGCTTACATTTATAGGTTTATTTGGTTTTGATCAAATATGGATCCAAGTATACCATATTAACGTTTTCAAGTTTCAACATTGGGCCGATGATAATATGTTCTTCAGGTTTTAATTTGCTGTTATTAGACTGCAAGGAGTACTGGTAAAAGTCTCTGATGTCTAGTGATGGACTTGAGCAGTGTTATATCATTAAATTGCCTTTTGTTCTTGATTAGCTGGAAATATTATTTTTTTAATTGAATTATATCATCTTTTGCATCATTTTACTCCTTTCTTGCATCAATGTGCTTATGCATGACCCAGAGTTTTCCTGTTGAGGAAAAACTGCTACATTGGAACGGACATGCTTCCTTCTAATTTTCTTGAATCACTCTAAAGATTTTGGTGAATTATGGATATGAACATGTTGATATACGGAAAGATTTTGGTGAATTGTGGATATGAACATGTCGATCTACAGAAGTAATTGATGGTTGCCTGGTTAGTGAATCATGAAATCAACGGACAGTCTGCTACAGGATGAAGGTTAACTAGTTTCTTGAATGGGTAGTCAGGCACTTTAAAATATGCAATCTCTTATCTGATAATGTAGTGTTGTGGTTAAGATATGAATTGCATCCCATTTGTCTGTCTGTTTTGTGGCCGTCTTCTTTGTTTTTCTCGTGAATGCTGCCTCTGTTACTTCACTTTAATGTGGGTTGTATCGGTTTATTTCCGGAGGATGGGGATCCGATACAGTTTGTTTGATATTCTTGGAGAGAAAGGACGGAGTTGGAGAGATTTGGAGGATGGGGATCCGATACAGTTATTGCAGTTGCCAGTCTCAGCAGATGCAAACATTAAATCAATACAACGCGTAAGCATCTGCCTGTGGAAGAGCATAGACTCGACCTTGAGCCCCCGAACTCTGCTCTACACTGCCCTGATGGCCTGACTGGTGAGTAGAAGTGCTAGGCGTAAAGGCTCCGGCTGGGTACGTGCCAACTGAAGTAAGTGGCTGCTGTGTTTGAGGAGGTCCCAGAGTGAGATGGAGCAGTGAGTAGTGACTAGTGAGAGAAACGAGTGAAATAAGAAGGATAAATAAAAAATAAAAATAAAATAGATTTATTGATCGGAATTTTATGTTACAATGAATAGATGGAAAGAGTGTGAGTTGGGAGAATCCTCCATCATAGAGAGGAGAGAAAAAGGAGAAGACTATTGAAATAGTCTGGCTTATTTGGGTAATTTTATTTATAGATATATAAGAGTGGAGTTCGAGTATAATTTTGGGGTGAGAATTTTTGAAAATAATATTTTTTAACCGAGTTTTCAAAAATAATTTTCAGAAACTGTTAACTAAGCAAGATTCTCTTTTTTGGAAAAGAGAAGAAAAAAGTAAGACAAAAGAAGAGGAAAAGTAAATAATTATTTTGTTTTATTTGGTTGATAATGGAAGGTGAAGGAAAATTAGAAAAGGGATTTGGAAGAAAAATAAAAGAGAAAAAAGAGCGAAAAAAATGGTGGAATGAATTTTTAAATATCTTCTCTTGTTTAGAAGAAGGAAGTGACCTATTCTTCTATCATTGGAGTTCAATCTACTACTGTCATAAGCTGGACCCATTTAATTCATGGATAAACACAAAAGTCTTTAAATAATTGAGTTCATAAACTTTTCATTAAAGAGTTTGATCATTAACATCAACCCATATCCAGAAGGGATTATATAAACAAAATCAAAATATACTTGTCTACTCTAGTAGAGAGAATTTTTTTTTTCCATTGCTAATATGGCATAATAAAAAATTGACACGTGTCATTTTTTTTTTTTTTTTTTTTAAATTCAAAATATATAAAGAAATTCTAATTTTCCCTCTTATATTTAAAATTAAAAATTGACACAAAAAAAAAATATATAGTGAGACTTAATAGACTTGTAAGTTATATAAACTCCGGCTCTGTTTGTTTGAGTGTAAAATATTTTCTATGTAATACTTTTTTATGTAGATTTTTTTTTTAATTTTTAATTTTTTTTTTTTTTAGTATTTGGCAAAGTTTTTAAATATTTTTCAAACAATATTTTTGATATCACGCTTCTAAAAGTTTTGTTGAATTAAATTAAAATTCTTATTTGAGTCATTGATTATTCATTTTTTTCTCTTATTATTAATTGGTCCAATTATTTGTATACCTACAATAATAATTAATTGACAAGAAATATAAAAAAATAAACAATTGATTTTTGAAAAAATGATAAGGAAATTGAAACAAGTCTCTCTGTAATCGAATGCAACAAGTGATTTATTATTATTTTTTCTCCAATTTACAAATCACTTTTTAAGGTTTTAAAAATTAATACTGCAAGTTAATCATTAAGCCAATAATGATGAAAGATAATAATAATAAAAGCAAAATGAAGAAACAAAAATAGAAAATTGTATGCTTGTTGTTAAAGAAGAAATTGGCCTTAGTGCCTCTTGCCCCCACAATAGGTATTGAGCTTATTGACTCTTCTCTTAATCGTTGTTTTGTTTTTGATAAGGCAGCAAGTTGGATTGGCCCAGTCCCAACCCAACCTCTACCCAAATCGGGTTGGGTTGGGGCTGCCCGAATTGTACTCAATATGGGTTATAGTCAAAATCTATCACAAATATTTTTGATGGATCGGGTCGGATTAACGGGTTGAATTTTTTTAAAAAATTATTATATATATATATATATATATATATTTCGTAAATTTATATTATATATAATTGATTATACTATTATTAAAAAACAAAATACTTTTAGGGCTAATCATTTCAGGCTCCCCAATCACCTCCATCTCTGGACATACTTAGGCAAAAACTGTGAGGACCAATACTGCCACGCAAAAACTGTGAGGACCAATATTGCCACCAGAATGAAGCATAACATGATCAGATACTGTAAGTAAGTACAAATTTAAGGAAGTTTTAAGCCAAAGAGGGTAAGGAAATACTGAAAAAAATTAAAAATGAATAAATTAAAATTTAACAGTACAAATTTATAATATTGCAAATTCATTTGTAAAAGACACAATCCATAACATTATGGAGTTGTTCTTCAGTGCACCCAAGAATCCGATCATCGATCTGAAAATCAAACATAACGTCTTTGAAATTATTCAAGGAAGAATATATGGAAATGAAAAAATTATAATTTAATGAATGCCTTAATTTATTATAGTACAAGAAATTAAAATAAATGGAAAGCTTACATTACAAATATGACGGTACCAAGGTCTAGGACAGGGACGGCGAGGGACTTCCGACAGCCGTCATGATGAGTGCTCACCCAAACCCCAAAACCTACAACGGCTATTGCTAAAAGCCGTCGAAAAATAAATTTAACTTTAGTATTTAATTAATTATTTTAAGTATTTGTGTATGTGGGCATTTAATATGCTAGTAGGTAATAAATTATCTTAATAAAAATTGATATATGAGAGTTAGTGGGATTATGAAGATTATGTAAAACCAAGGGTCATGGTAGTTAAGTCTAAATGGTTATATTAGTGGGAATTAAACCTCCAAAATACCATGTTAGTAGGAGTAGTGGGAGTTAAGCCTAAAAGTTATGTTAGTGTGAGTAATTGGGCACTGAAATGTAATTGTTACACCAATGTTCCTGTGGCCAATATATTTATGTACTCTAATCAAATAATAGTAGAAGTGAAATAAAATAATTATTCAAGTATTCCTCCATATCATTTTCATCTAAAATATTATTGAGTATTGTGTGTATTTGAGCCACTATTTTCAACAAAGTGGTATCAGAGTAAAGTCAGAAAGTGGTATCAGAGAAAAATCCAACAACGTGGTATCAGAGCTAGGTTCCATATCATAGCTAGGTTTGGTTTCATGTTTAGAGCCTAGACGATCCTGAAGGCATGATGAAGTTGATCCTAGAAGGTTTTACGTTTTGAGAAGAACATGTTTCTCCTTAATGATGATAAAGAGGGGAAAATGTATTTTCTTAGTGAGAAAATGATGTTATCTAATTACAAGATAATGAGAATCATCATGACTTCATACCTCAAAGCATGTGATTTGTGGGATGTTGTTGGAGAAAAGCCAAAGAATGGCATATCCAACACAATTCGTGTGAAGAAAGAAGAGAAGGCACTGGTAGTGTTGCAAAAGGCAATACATCAAGAAATTTGGGAGTATTTTAGAGAGTCCAAAACTCCAAGTTGTGTTTGGAAGATGCTCGAGACTATCATTTCCAATCATAGAGGTGAATCACTACCCATAGAGTATTGGGTACAATGCTTTAAGGATGATGAGTTTACGAAAGATGATTATGAAAATCTTGATGACAAGGTTGTGGAGAATGAAGAGGTGTATCATGCAAATGAAGTTAAAGATTTTGGAGATTCAAACGTTGAAGGAGAATTTGAAATGGTGAATGAGGAAGAGGTAAGAAAATGAGTCAAAGAAGAGATTGAAAAAATGGAGGAATATAAAGTGAAAATAGAAAATTTAGAAGAAGAAAGTGCTAAAGAAGAGGCAAAAGTTGATGAAATTGGTGAGTTAACAATTTCAAGTATGGTTACAAATTTCACCTTGAAAGAAGTTATATTTGACTTATTTGATGAAATTATTATTTCTTTATATTCATCAAATAATGTTTATTTTGTGGAGAATGATGAATTTCTATTGAAGAAAATTGCTCCAATTAATTATGACATTGAAGCTAAAGGCGGGAAGAATTTTTCGAATTATTTTTTACAAGATGGTTTGAAGAATTTTGTAATTGACACAGGCTGGGTGAATGGAGTTATTTTTTGATTCCAAAGAAGAAGCACATAAGAAGTTCAAGAAGTTTCAAGAATTCAAGAAGAGAGAAAACGAATGGTGTGCCTATGTGAAGAAGATAAATGTTGATCATAAGAGGGTATTATTCAAGCATTTGAAGAAGTTTCACAAGCCCTACACA